GTGGGTCATCTGCCAAGTCAGGAAGAATCAGTACTGTCTGAGTCAATACCTCTAGACAATCATGGCACGGAGGTCCCGGTTCTGGCATCAGGGTGGCTGAGTTCAAAGCAGTGGTGTGCTTGAAGGTAAGGCCTGGATTAGATATGAAATCTCTCTCCTATCTGGATTGTCTGGAGGGGTTTAAAATTTTTCCTCCCTCTCCTCCAAGGATCTGGGGAACTCCATGTGGGGTATGTATTCCCATATCAGCTCCCATAACAATCTTTTGAGCCTCCTCCACAAGGGTAGCAGTGGCGGCGACAGCCCTCAGGCATGCAGGCCACCCCTTCGCTACCAGGTCTAGGACTTTGGAGTAGTATCCCACGGGCTTCCAAGTGGGACCTACTGGCTGAGTTAGGACCCCTGAGGCCACTCCCCTATTTTCGTGCACATACAGTCTATAGGGCTTGTGCCCATTTGGAATCATCAACGCCGGGGGCTGCAAGAGGGCAGCTTTCAGTAATTCAAATGCATGTTGTTTTTTCTTAGTCCATTTCCACATAGCAAGACCCTCCTTGGTAAGGGACTCATATAAGGGTTTGGCTTTTTTTTCATAGTCAGGAATCTATAATCTATAAAACCCGGTCAGACCCAAAAAGGCTCGCAGTTCTTTGGGGCTTTTGGGAATGGACATATCTTGTATTGTTTGGATTCGATCTTTATTTAAAGCCCGAATCCCCTTTTTAATCTTATATCCCAAAAAGGTGACTTTCGGTTGGCAGATCTGAGCCTTTTCCCGTGACACCTTATACCCTTTCTTCCCCAGGGTATTCAGCAAGGACTCTGTCGCCCTTTTTTCCGTCTGTTTATCCGGACTTGCTATCAATAAGTCATCAACATATTGTAACAGCGCTATCTCAGGGTCTCTCTCTTTTTAATGTTCCAGGTCTTTTTGCAATGCCGTCCCAAAGATATGGGGGGATGAGACAAATCCCTGGGGCAACACAGTCCATAACAATTGAGTCTTATGATATGTATCTGGGTCTTTCCATTTAAAAGCAAACAATTTCTGACTATCCTCATGTATTGGGATAGAGAAGAAAGCATCTTTTAAATCTAGCACAGAAAACACCTTAGCTTCTGCTGGAACTTGGGTGAGAATGGTGTGAGGGTTTGGAACCATGGGGTGGTCTATTAAAATCTTTTTATTTATTGCTCTCAAATCTTGCACTAGCCCGAAGGAGATGTCATCCGCTTTGGGCACTCTCAAGATCGGGGTGTTGAAGGGGGATGATCCCTCTATTAACCAGCCATACCGTTTAAATTTGTCAATCAGCGGTTTTAAACCGACCCGAGTGGCCTTCTTCAGAGGATATTGCTTTACACATACAGGACCCTCTCCTTTCTTTAGGGGGATTCTGACTGGATTTATATATTTTGCCCGGGCAGGGGTTCCGTCTGCCTATACGCGCGGATCAACATTTTCTAAAATCTCAACTTCTTTGGTTTTCGGATCCGCCTTAACGGTTCGAAGGGCCATTTGATAATTTGAGCCCTGTTTCACTGGCAGCTGTACTACGATTTGATCTTCACGAAAGAAGATTTCAGCTTGCAATTTGGTTAACAAGTCCCGTCCCAAGAGAGCCACTGGACATGCGGGGGAAACTACGAACGCATGTTTTAACATATTATTTTTAATCTTTGTGAGGAGGGGCTTATACACAGGCAGTCTGGTTTGTCTTTTTAATTTGAGCCCTGTTTCACTGGCAGCTGTACTACGATTTGATCTTCACGAAAGAAGATTTCAGCTTGCAATTTGGTTAACAAGTCCCGTCCCAAGAGAGCCACTGGACATGCGGGGGAAACTACGAACGCATGTTTTAACATATTATTTTTAATCTTTGTGAGGAGGGGCTTATACACAGGCAGTCTGGTTTGTCTTTTCTCTATCCCTTCTACAGTCACATGCTTTCCACTTTCTTTGGCTAAAGGAGGTTTGGCGGGAATCATTGAACAAGTGGCCCCGGTATCTACCAGCGCCTCATAGTCTCTGCCACCCACCCTTATCTGTATCATGGGATCCTTTTTGGGCATTTGTCCGCAGGGCGGTGGCCTTGAATCCCGGTCCCCTTCAGCTAGAATCTTCCCCCGAGGATTCCGCTCGCATCTGGCGGTCCCCCGGCTGGGTTTCCCTCTTTCTGTCCTTTAATTTAGGACAATCCCTTTTCCAATGTCTTTTTTTCCGACAGTATGCACACTCGTCTGGCTTCGGTCGATTCTTCCCTTTCTTCTGCCCCGCCTCAGGTTGCTCCTTTCGTCTCCCACCAAGGTTGGCGCCTCTGCCCAGGGCAGCTGCCAGCATTGTCATTTGTTTCTGCCCACGCTTCTCCTCCTTTCTTTTCTTTCTGCTACCTGATCTCGATTTCCGTAAACTTTGTATGCAATTTCTACAAGCTCCGAGAGGGGTTTTCCTGGTCCCCCTTCAACCTTTTGTAACTTTTTTCTTATGTCTGGGGCCGCTTGCCCAATAAACAGCATGTTTATCATGCGATGATTTTCTTGGGCTTCAGGGTTTATATCACTAAATTTTTTAAAAGCATCATACAACCGCTCCAAAAAAACCGAGGGAGACTCGTCCTTTCCTTGACGGACTTCGCATAATTTGGAAAGATTAGTTACTCGTGGCACTGCTTTGTCCAAAGCTTTCACTATAATTTCTAAATACTCCTTGTTGCGCCTCCTCCCCTCGGTGTACTGTCGTCCCAATCAGGATTTTCAATAGGACACTTTCCCCGTAAATCTGTTTTTGGTTTGCGTTCTTCGGCTATTTTATCTGCTGCTTCCTGTACCAACCGCCTTTCCTCAGAGGTCAAAAGGGTATGTAACATCATCTGAACATCAGCCCA